TTGAAACACGAAAGCTTTAGTGGAGCGATTTAAAATTATATTATAGTCTCTTATAATAAAAAAAATATTATAATAATATTTTGTTCTACTTTGTATTGAACACATTTTATTAAAAAGTAAATGCTATGTACAGTAGATTTTTTTTTTACTCCATTTGTTTTTTTCTCTTAATAACAATCTGAGTGGCGTCTGGTACGCAAATTAAGAGCGACTTCAGACCGTAAACTTAAATTTTCGTTTGGAAACAAAATCAAGAACATGGATGAAAATAGTAACGCTTAAGTATTAGAAACGAGAGAGCGAACACGCCAAAAATATCATCGAAAGGATTGAACAATAAAAATGGAACATTGTGATATATATATATATATATATATATATATATATATATATATATATATATACCGAAGACAGGCGTCTGTCTGTCTCCTGGTGTAGCGCGCGGTTTCAAATATGAGGTCAGAGGTTAACTGATAGTCGTCGAGTGCATAGACAGCAACTCCAATATTTGTCTCTCGAAAATTCTGGGATGACGAGTATTCATGCTTTACACTATTCAGATCCCGGCTATTGTTCTGGTTATGACAACGTTTCGGCTCTTGTGACCATCAGCCTTCATCAGGTGTTGATTTTTTAAGCGTAGGATTTTATTTTTACTTTCAGATTGAATGTGTCTCTTTCAACTAATTTAAATCGATTTACATTATTTAGGCCCCTATAGTTGGAGCGAGGCTTTTAAATTCGAAGGGTGCCCCTTAAATTGGCCCATTTATATTTTATATATATACATTTCAATGCATCATTTTTATATAGAGATTTTTTACGTAGTATCATCTAATATATATATATATATATATATATATATATATATATACATTTCGATGCATCATTTTATATATAGATTTTTATGTAGTATCATCTAATATATATATATATATATATATATATATATATATATATATATATAGTGTAACCCGGATATAAGAGAGTCGTCGGGACCGGAGAAGAAGTCTCTTATATCCGGGTTCCTCTTATATCCGGATTGGGTCTATTTTATATACATTAACACAGGCTCTAATTTGGGACCAGAGAAAATTTCTTTTATATCCGGGTCTCTTATATCCAGGTTACACTGTATATATATATATATATATATATATATATATATATACACATTTCGATGCATCATTTTTATATATAGATTTTTTATGTAGTATCATCTAATATATATATATATATATATATATATCGAAATGTATGTATATATATATATATATATATATATTTTTTTTTTTTTCTTTATAGAAAAGGTAGACTATAAATAATGAAGTGGCCTTAATTTCATGAGCCCGTGGATTCTTAAATTTTAAATCCGCCCTTGATTATTGCAAATTATTAGTTTATGATTACGGATCGAGATAAAGAAAATTATTTTTTTGTCATTCTTCGTCCGATTACACCAGAACGAAATAAATGCAATGAGAAATTTTTAAATTAGGAATACAAATAAAAATAATTTTAATATATCTTGATTTTCTAAGGGTAGCTTTCATGTGGCACAAGGACGAAATTATGAAACACCCAGTGAGGATCGAACTCACTTCTCAGTCTTAATTGTTTTAGCGAGATAAGCTTGCTCACACATTACAACACGTCTAGCTGCTTATGATTTTCTAAGCACAGCTTAGATGTGGCACAAGGTCGAAAGCATGGGGCACCCAGTGAGCATTAAACTCACGACTGAGTTGTAACGATTCTAGTGAGATAAGCTTTCTAACCATTGCACCACGTCGAGGTGCTTGTCTTAATCAGGTGTATGTCGATTCGAGTAACCTACTGGCAATTCTGAACAGAATCCTTTCTTTAATCTCGATTAAATAACATGTCGGAGTTAACTTCTTTAGTTCGTTAACCCTTTCACCAGGGGTCTCTCTTCTTTGGTTATAAATACTCGCCGACACTTCGCCTCTTCCTCTTTTTGCCTCAGGCTTTCAGCTTTACAACCTCGCAGATGTGAACGCTCACAGATACAGCGTTTCCCAAATGCTGGGAACACGCTCAGAACAATACACGTACGTACGAACATTCACCACAACACACACACATATATATAATATTCACACACTCTGTCCATGTAACTGTCCATGTAACTTGGAACCATTCTTGTTATTAATACATATATATGTTTACGTATATTTATCGGTCTTGTGTTTGTTTTTCTTGGCCTTCTTTGGACTTAATTAAAGTCCAACTTTCTCATGTAGTTGGACCGGCGAGCAGGAAAATCTTAACCCACATGTGTTCTTCTACTTCTACTCAACAACATCGCCGATATGGTCCACTAAAAAGGGCTCATTTATAAATTCTCTATGGGTTACACGGACCGAAAGTTTTCAGTGTCTAAGAACCCCTACCAAAAAAAAACAAACCAAAAAAAAAAAAAAAACAGGTATAGCAATTCAAATACGTGTACGCCTAGACGCAAGGTGTGGTTGCGTGTGAGAGAATTTAAGAAGGAGAGAAGAAAATAAAAGAATTTGAAAGAGAAAGGAGAGCGATTGTATAAACCCTGATACAAGTTAATTGAAACAACAGCTTTAGTTTCCTTTCTTTCACCATACAGTCAGTTTTAGACTCACTGGATAGACAGAGTGTAACCGATTCCTATTTTTCCTCATATTAGATTATTTGCAGTGGTTTTCAGCAATATATCTATTTTCAGAGCGTATGATGTAATTTGTTTGGCCTTGAAAAATATTGCGTCATCCGTGATTGCATTAGATTTTTATCAAGTCCAGACACTATTGTCTGTACTGTCGATTAGTTGTCCTGCGAACATTGGCTGCGATGGACGTTACTCCAAGGAAGCGTAGGAAAATTGTAACCCTGCACGAACACACAGGCAAGCCTTACCAGTGAGCAAATCAAAGTACTAGAGACTCTCCCGGAAAATTTCCTGATTTAAATCCAGTCGAGAATCTGTGATAATTCCGCAAAGTACGACTTCCTGGAAGGGACATACGAAGTACTAACATGTGCACTGGGTCATATTTCATTGGGAAAATACGGAAAAGTGAATAATCACGAAATTATTCGCTTTGTTTCAATTCATTTGCACAATGATGGGCATTGTCAACTATGGCCGTTTTTTTTACATCCATTTATTTAAGTAGCAAAGTAATCGATCTAAGTAACGCGGTTTATCGAAATAAGTGCTGCATAATTTGTTACGCTTAAAATGTGTTTACAGGTCGCGACAGCTATTAGGGAGATGTGATTAAATATACTTTAATTTTTTAAAATATTTAGTATTATTATTGTTTAGGTAATAAGCATTTATACTTTCATGGTAATTGCTCTGAGGAGCTGCATTCGTTGGTCCCCAGACTTCATGAGTTCAAGCGCCCTACGAGGCTAGCATCCCGGCCACACCCTTTCACTTTAGAAACTATTAAATATGGCCGTCTCTTCTACTCCAATAGCTTCATGTCTCGCACCTTCTCGCCTGTGGGACTCCCTTCCCAATTCCAGTTTCCCTGAGAGCTATAATCTCCAGCTATTCAAATGTAATGTCAATCGACATCTCCAGTTGCCTTGATCTATACACTATCCTTCTCCTCATCTTTTCCTCTATCACTCTTATTTGATCTTGCTCCAAATCTTCTTTAACCCCTTGCGTCTTTGTGGCTTCCCGCCCTGCTTGGGATGAGACGCTTAAAAAAACAACTATATTGTGGAAAAAGGAATTTTCGAACACATACGCATTTTTACGTAATTATGGTTATATTTTTTTAAAAACTTTTATCAAAAGCGACATTCTTGTACATGTAGATATGGATGGCATTATTTTTTATTAATAACTATTTGTGGTCAATTGTTGACATTAAAAGCTACTGATGTGTTAAAGGTTTGGAATAATACAATAATAAAAAATTAACTTTTATTTCTCTGAAAGATGCAGTGGTCTGTAAATATTTATATAAATGTATAACGTATATATACTATTTTCCATACCTGTATAACATATGCTGATAAATACATACATATATATATATATACACAGAAATGAAGAAATGTTAAACATAGATAGATAGATAGATAGATAGATAGATATGAAGAGAGAGGCAGTCAGACAGACAGACAGATAGATAGATAGATAGATAGATAGATAGATGTGAACGGAATGTGATAGATAGATAGATAGACAGACAGAGATAGATAGATAGATAGATGTGAAGAGAATGTGATAGATAGATGTGAAGAGAATGTGATAGATAGATAGATAGACAGATAGATAGATAGATAGATAGATAGATAGATAGATAGATAGATAGATAGATGTGATGAGAATGTGATAGATAGATGTGAAGAGAAAGTGATAGATAGATTGATAGATGTGAAGAGAATGTGATAGAGAGATAGATAGATATGAAGAGATTGATTGACAGACAAATAGATAGATACATAAATGTGAACAGAATGTGATAGATAGATAGATAGATATGAACAGACCAAGACATAGATAGATAGATAGATAGATGTGAACAGACGTAGATAGATAGATAGATAGATAGATAGATAGAAATTAACAGACCAAGACAGATAGATAGATAGATAGATAGATAGATAGATAGATAGATAGATAGATGTGAACAGACATAGATAGATAGATAGATAGATAGATAGATAGATAGATGTGAACAGAATGTAATAGATAGATAGATATGAACAGACCAAGATAGATAGATAGATAGATAGATAGATAGATAGATGTGAAGAGAATGTGATAGATAGATGTGAAGAGAATGTGATAGAGAGATAGATAGATATGAAGAGAATGTGATAGATTGATAGATAGATAGATAGATAGATAGATAGATAGATGTGAACAGAATGTGATAGATAGATAGATAGATATGAACAGACCAAGATAGATAGATAGTTAGATAGATAGATAGATAGTTAGATAGATAATGTGATAGATAGATGTGAAGAGAATGTTATAGATAGATAGATAGATAGATAGATAGATAGATAGATAGATAGATAGATAGATGTGAAGAGAAAGTGAGAGATAGATAGATAGATAGATGTGAAGAGAATGTGATAGATAGATAGATATGAACAGACCAAGATAGATAGATAGATAGATGTGAAGAGAATGTGATAGATAGATAGATAGATAGATGTGAACAGACATAGATAGATAGATAGATAGATAGATAGATAGATAGATAGATAGATAGATAGATGTGAAGAGAATGTGATAGATAGATAGATATGAACAGACCAAGATAGATAGATAGATAGATAGATAGATAGATGTGAACAGAATGTAATAGATAGATAGATATGAACAGACCAAGATAGATAGATAGATAGATATATAGATAGATAGATGTGAAGAGAATGTGATAGATAGATGTGAAGAGAATGTGATAGAGAGATAGATAGATATGAAGAGATAGATAGATAGATAGATAGATAGATAGATAGATGTGAACAGACATAGATAGATAGATAGATAGATAGATAGATAGATAGATAGATAGATAGATGTGAACAGAATGTAATAGGTAGATATGAACAGAGCAAGATAGATAGATAGATAGATAGATAGATAGATAGATGTGAACAGAATGTGATATATATTTATCCCTACCAAGTCTGTCAACTGCTTTTGGTCGGGGAGCGTTTCAGCGGCGTATATACAAATTGTTATTATCAGTTTGTGAAACATGTTGTGTCACTGCCGGTTTTATTTGAATCTCCCATTTTTCGGTGTCGGGTGTGTGTGTGTCTGTGTTGGGTAGTGACACAATGTCGACCGGGGTCGTTTCGTTTCGTGCAGTGGTGGGTGACGATTGAAATTTTGTTTATCCCCAGATATTTTCCTGACAGGTAATATATCGAATTACCACTCCTCAAAAAACATATACACACCCCCACACACCCCACACATAAAGAAATCATTCTTCCATATCATGTAAGACTATCGCCCTGAAAAAAAAACATCCATACAATTTCAAACACACACACACACACACACACACACACACACACACACAAAATCAGCCAAATGTATACACCTATACAAGTCTGGTATGTCATCTAGAATGTTAGAAAAAAAACGACACACAAATTGATAAATATGTTTGCGTTTGGTTTCATAACACAATTTTTCTTTTAGTTTTTGTAATGTTTCTCATTCATATCCTTCTCGCCGCTACATTTGTTTTAACTAAAGTTCACGCAGTGCAAAGCGTGAGAGCCACTCAAGGTGGAAGAAGTGAGGATTATGTGGATATGACGCATAGACAACAATTAACCCGAGATTTGATCAGTTTAAGATTGTAGCATTTTGGGAAAGCATCCCCTGGGGATTATGATCCACAAAGTAATTGTTATTAGGAAGAGGTTTCCTGAGTGTATTCTTTCTTTTTTTTTTTTTTTTTTTTCCCCTACCTCCTATCCTAAGTTCTCATTGTCTATGGTGTGTATATGTCACCACGAAATGTATCTTTATGCATTAGACATCCGTCGACTTTCTTTCTCTCCTCTTTTTAAATCCCCCCCACATCTCCTAAAATTCTCTCTGTTAAGGTTTAATCTCCCTCCTCCTCATACTTACACTTTCTCTAAATTCTGTTTTGATTTCCGGAGTTGTTTTTTCTGTTTTCATTTTGAAATTGTAGGTCTGATGATTTGGATCGTATTTACGATTCCAATGGAATAAATTATGACCATGGAATATTAGTGTTTAATTTTTTATTATATCCTTACTCTGTCCTGGACATTGAGTTCTACCTGGATTCTTCCTCTTGAAAAATTTTTTCTGAAAATATACATGTATGGGTATTTTTTTTTTTATATATATTTTGCATATGTATGTATATTTTCCACTATCTATCTATCTATCTATCTATCTATCTATCTATATATATATATATATATATATATATATATATATCTTAATTTTTCGAGTAAGGTCACATCTACAGGTGCCTCTCTGTCCTTGGACAGAGTGCGCTCAGGTCATTCTCTGTCAAAAACAGAGGAGCAACTGAGAAAGTAATACTGAGATGAGCCCAGCCCTGGGGAAGAGCTGCCCGAGGCCGCGCTCTCCCATTGCACAAGAGGGAGGGATTGGTTGCGGGGCCGGAGGGAAAATTTTGTTCCTGTCCCGGGTGTACGCGCTCGGGACCCCACCAAAAATAGACCTTCTGTCACATCTCGTCCTAGTGGGGAGACAGAGTAAATACTTATTTCTTACCAAAAAAATGTATATATATGTGTGTGTGTGTGTGTGCGTGTGTGTATGCTTGTGTGTGTGTGTGTGTGTGTTATACAGTATATTTATAGATTATCTGTTTTTCCTTTATTATACACCATATATATGTTTTTGAAAGAAAGGATATATGACAAATTGGACAAAGTTTTTGCGACACGTTTCGTCCAATAGGACGTTATCAGGCTGAAATGCGTCACAAAACCTTTTTACAACTTGTCATACATACATATCCATATATATATATATATATATATATATATATATATATATATATATATATTATGAAATGGACAAAGTCCAACAATTATTTTTAAGACGTTTTTATGTTTATACATTCTTTTTATAGATAAAATATTTAAGTAAATTCTCGGTTTATAATAGACAGTATTCAACAACATTTACCGGCTTGAATGTCCGAGAAATTTTCATAGAAAATATTCGTCCTCCGACAGGAATCGAACCTGTATCCTATACGGAACCGTCATTTAGCTTGACGTGCCTTTAACCGATTTGGCCACAGAGGAGCATTCGATTAGCAAGGTCGAATTTATTGTCTTTAAACTTCAATCTTCCATGAATCACGTACATTCATATCTGCTCATGGCGTATCAAAATGTTCACTTAAATATTTTTATCTATAAAAAGAATCTATAAACATAAAAATGTCTTAAAATAATTGTCGGACTTTGTTCATTTCATAATATGTTACGTCATTTGTTTACAATTGGATGCGCTTTGAGCAGATATGAATGTACGTGAGAGAATCATGGAAGATTGTAGTTTAAAGACAGTGAAATCGACCTTGCCAACCGAACGCACCTCTGTGGCCAAAACGGTTAAGGCATGTCAGGCTATATGACGGTTCCGGATAGGATACAGGTTCGATTCCTGTCGGAGGACGAAAATTTTCAATGATAATTTATCGGACATTCTGGCCAGTAAATGCTGTTTATTATAAATAGCATTTAACGTCATATATTAAGAAATGGACAAAGTCCGACAATTTATATATTAAAGACATTTTTTTTTTATGTTTAACGTTCGTTTCTTTTTTTTATAGATACAAGTATTTAAGTAAATGCTCTGTTTATAATAAACAGTATTAAATAACATTTACCGGCCTGAATGTCCGAGAAATTTTTATAGAAAATATTCGTCCGTTGACAGGATTCGAACCTGCATCCTATACGGAACCGTCATTTACGCTGACGTGCCTTAACCTCTCGGCCACAAAGGAGCGTTCGGTAAACAAGGTCGAATTTACTGCTTATAAACTTCAATCTTCCATGAATCTCGTACATTCATAACTGCTCTGGCGTATCAAATGTAAGCAGTAAATTCGAGTCTTTAATATATAAAGAGCATTTACTTAAATAGGTTAAGAATGTATAAACATAAAAATGTCTTAAAATAATTGTCGGACTTTGTCCATTTCTTATATATATATATATATATATATATATATATATATATATATATATATATATATTTAGTTTATTAAAAACTAGGTAATCCGTATGGGTAAACCCAAGGAGGATAAAATCCAGAGAGCTCAATGTAAATCCAGAGCAAACAATTTAAATAAAAACAGACCACTTTAAGTTTCCATGTCATAAAATTGTTTCACCGCAGCCCTTTTTAAAGGACTGCGGATCATCAGTCTTTACTTCCAAAGGTTGAAACAAAAAAAATGAAAAGAAATTTACACATTTTTGACGGGCCGTATTAAACATATGTAAATTAACGAAGTGAGGAAGTGGGTGGGGAGAGAGAAGACATGAGAATCGTCGGCAATATAAAACAGAATCGTGGGCAATGTAAATCAGAGATGCCTCTAAGAAAAATATTATCAACAACTGGTATTAAATAAATAAATTACCCAATAGTCATATGAAGAGGGGGAAAGATTTTTACTAAATATATTCCCAGACAGGCAGTAGTTTCCTTGAAATGTCCAACCTATATTTCATCTCCCGTTGTCTACACAGGACAGGACGTTGTATATTAATAATAATAGACTCCAAGATGTCTAAGTGGAGTTTCGTTCTAGCCCTGTGTATGACGGGAAAAAGTCATGGGAATAGTTCGTCCTGCAAGCAACAGGATTTAATAGGTGTGCGGCAATCGCAGACTTATGAGTTTGCGAACACCCAGGCAATATATGCTCCTGAAAAGTTATTTCGGTTGAGCTCTCTGGGGACAAATTGTGAGCTTGTAAACAGTGACTATTACTGCTAGTAATGCAATACTCTACAACAAAACGAGTCGGGTTCTCTCGGTCACTAACGTGTTTATCTAAAAATAAATATGCTTAAATTCACCTTCATCCCTGCCGTGTGCCAACTGCTTAGGGGTAGATTCTCCGACTGACACCAATTCAGCCGGGTTTCGATCCTAGCTAGAGGCAACCGGACGTCTATCACAACTGACCCCTCTGACCCTTCCAACTACCGTCCTATCAGTCCCCTGCCCCTGTTCGGCAAAGTCTTCGAAGCTCTAATCAATACCGGGGTGGTTAACAACCTCACATCCCATAATCTGCTCTCAGACAAGCAATATGGTTTCCGCTTTGCCCGATCTACAGCCGATGTGCTTACGGCCATCACTGAAACAGTCTACCAAGCTCTCCAAAATAACGGGGAAGCCCGAGCCGTGGCACTAGACATCTCCAAAGCATTTGATAGGGTTTGGCATGCCGGCCAAGCTCCAGGGTTATGGCATTACGGGTCGATTATATAACCTAATACAAGCATTCCTGTCAAACCGTGAATTGAAGGTCGTTCTCAACGGATTCTCCTCCAGTTCCTATCCCACGCAGGTGTCCCTCAAGGCTCCATCCTAGGCCCCACTCTATTCCTTATCTACATAAATGACCTTCCTGATGCCGTAACTTCCCAAGTTGGCATCTACGCGGATGACACCACAATTTATTCCTGCCTCAAAAACAAATCTAGTCTCACTGACAAAACTAACCTGGCCGTGCGACTCGAAAAGGACCTCCAATCGATTGTGAACTTGGGCATGAATTGGCTGGTCAACTTCAACGCTTCGAAGACAAAACTGCTCTCTATTAATCACCACAGAGAGCTTTCCCTTCCCCCCATTAGAATGTCTGATAGTCAACTTCTCGAGAGCAACTCTGCGGCTTCTCGGTCTCACGTTGACTGCTGATCTGAGATGGAATAAATACATCGAGTCAATTGCCTCGTCCACTGCAAGGAAAGTTGGCTCCCTGAGCCGCGCTAGGAAGTTTTTCTCCCCTGAGTCGATCCTCCAGATATACAAATCCACAATTCGCCCTTGCATGGAGTATTGCTGCCAGATATGGTCTGGCGCCACTTCTGTTTGCCTCGGGGTTCTTGATAGGCTCCAGAGGCAGATATGCAATATGGTTGGCCCTGCCCTGGCGTCTCGTCTACAGTCACTTTCTCACAGACGCGCCGTCGCCTCCCTCTGTCTGTTCTACAAATACTTTCATGGAAATTGCTCCGAGGAGCTGCATTCACTGGTTCCCAGACGTCATGAGTTCCAGCGCCCTACGAGGCTGGCATCCCGCTCTCACCCCTTCACTGTCGAAACTCCTAAATGTAGCCGTCTCTTCTACTCTAATAGCTTCATGTCTCGCACCTCTCGCCTGTGGAACTCCCTTCCCTTCTCCCGTTTCCCTGTGAGCTATAATCTCCAGCTATTCAAATGTAATGTCAATCAACATCTCCAGTTGCCTTAATCTATCCACTACCCTCATCCTTTCTTCTATCACTCCTATCTGATCTTGCTATTTTCTGTAACCCCTTGCGTCCTAGTGGCTTCCCGCCTTGCTTGGGTGAAACGCTTAAAAAAAAAAAAATATGCACCTCGAGAAAAATCTGGACGAGTGAGTATGCTTTAAAATCAGAATAGAACTTTGCTTTGCTGTGAAGCTCTATGTAGCCATCCCATAAAAGCACGCCGAATAAGAAGGTGGCGCGTCTAGCACGTCAGCTTAAATGAGGGTACCTATTATGATCGCATATTTTCTACGAAATTTCTCTAACATCTAAGCCGGTAAATGTAATTAATACTGTTTCATTTTTTTTAAAAATCAGTGGATTTACTAAAATACATTACATCTATAAAAATAACATATAAACATAAAATATATTAAATAATTTCCGAACTTAATCCGTTTCATATATATATATATATATATATATATATATATATATATATAATTGTTAGGTGTTATTTATATAGACAGAAATATTGAAATAAATGCTCTGATTATGATAAACAGTATTAACATTTACTGGCCTGAACGCCCGAGAAATTGTCAGACAAAATATGCATCCTTCGACAGGTATTGAACCAGTAAACTACAATTTTCCACGATTTCCCTCGAATGATCATATCTGCTCGAAGCGTATCTAAACGTAAACAAATGACGTCACACACTACGAACTGGACAAAGTCCGACAATTATTTTAATATATTTTATTGGTATACGTTATTTATATAGACACAAAAGTTTAAATGCAGTGAATCAACCTTGCTAACCAGACGCTCCTTTGTAGCTGAATTTGTGTAGCACGTCAGGCTATATAACCGTTCCGTGCATTTACTTAAATGTGTGTCTCTAAATAACGTATAACAATAAATGATCAAAAAACAATTGTCGGGCAATATCTGTCTATATTTCAGTTCAGTTCGACATTCCAACCACCTATAGAAGGCCGGAGCGTGCAACGGCCGAAACGTTGTGATAAATATGGCGACATATATGTCTGTCTGTGTGTGTGTGTGTGTGTGTGTGTGTGTGTGTGTGTGTGTGTGTGTGTTGACGTAAGTTTCAACTTTTAATTCATTTCTAAAATCTCTCTTTGCTTTTGTTGAAAAGATGCTAGCATACCCTCGGAATTGTCTCTTGAGTCCCCTGGTGATTCTATCTTGTGCTTTCGACTTTAGTTATTGCACTCCTTTTAGATATCGCGTTTTAATTTATCTCCCTCCTTCTTCTCAGAAATGTAATATATTAGATAAAATTTCTGACAATATAGAATATAGCCCTCTCTCTAGCTCAATCTGTGAACATTTTTGTGTTTGGCGATTTGAATGCTCGTCAAGTCAAGTGAATTAAGCCTTGTAATGTTAATTATTTAGCCAGTATTCAGACTTCGAACTTTTCCGTTGATCAGTCTCTTATTCAAATGTGGGTTTCTCTACTCGTTTTTCTAATGAATATGATCAACATGCTTCTTTCCCTTATTTGCTTCTGGCCTCCTCTCGTAGCGCTTGTCGAGCCTCACAACATTCTCCTCTTGGTAATCCGGATCACATAGTTGATTCTGTTGATATTTCCTTTGCGTTGTCTATTAGAATGAAACCTTATATTCACAAGACTTCTTTCTGTTAACAGCGTATCGATTTGGATTCATTTCGTGAATTTCTTCGAGGTTTTGGATTTAGATTCTTAACCTTCCTATTCAGACTTATGCCACAGAGGTTTCTTCTTGGGTCAAAGCCAGCATCGATACTTTCCTTCCTTCTCGGAAATAGCAGGTGAAACCATAATGTTTTCCCTCGTGTTCTGCAACTATAGCCCATAGGAATTACTTCTTCCGGGTGTTCCAGCATTATAGTTCCAGTCACATAAGAAACCAATTTGGGTCTGCTCATAACAATTGTAAACGCGTCCTTAAAAAGCTAAGTCTTTGCTTGCAGATAGAATAGGAGACATATCTTCTAACAATTTTGGCGCTTGTGTTACTGGCGGGTTTGTCATAGTATCTTAAATAAGTCTTCTATCTTTCTTCTCTTAACCTAAACTTTCCTTGTCTTTAGGAACTCGGGCTAACCATCCGATCTTTCTAAGTATTGGCCTATTAGCCTTCTACCTCTTTTTCGTAATGTTCTAGAATCTCTAATCATCTCTGAAATGGTTTATCATCTTACCTCGCAGTATTCTCTTTCAGACAAGTAGTAAGGCTTTCGTGTTTCTAGGTCCACTGCTGATACATTAACGATTATTGTAGAAAGTGGCTGTCAAGTTTTAGATAAGAACTGGGAATCACGCGCTGTTGCTTTAGCTATCACGGTGGCAATTGACAGGCGTTGACCTATTGGTCTTCACAAGTTGAAACGTTATAGTATTTCTGGAAGAATTATTGAACTAATTTACCAAATCAATAAATATAAGTTGTCTTGAATGGCCTCTCTTCTACATCTTTATGTATTAAAGCATGCGTGCCACAGGGCTCCCTCTTTGGACCCACGTTGAACGTAATTTTCAACGACCTTCCTGATGGCATCAATTCTAAACTCGGTATTTGTTGTAAAATATCAGTGAAACGGAGGGGACAGAAATAACCGAAGAGAGAAATACAAAAAGAATCTTAGAGAGAGAGAGAGAGAGAGAGAGTAAAAGAGACGCGTAACTGGGAAAGAGAGGGAAAATGGAAAAGTGTAGTTGTACAGAGAAGGAAAATCTAACAGAGTGAGAGAGAGAGAGAGAGAGAGAGAGAGTAAAAGAGACGCGTAACTGGGAAAGAGAGGGAAAATGGAAAAAGTGTAGTTGTACAGAGAAGGAAAATCTAACAGAGTGAGAAAGAGAGAGAGAGAGAGAGAGAGAGAGAGAGTAAAAGAGACGCGTAACTGGGAAAGAGAGGGAAAATGGAAAAAAGTGAAGTTATTAACAGAGAAGGAAAAATCTAATAGAGAGGAGAGAGAGAGAGAGAGAGAGAGAGAGAGAGTAAAATAACAGTGAAACGGAGAAGGAGAGAGAAATTGCCGAAGAGAGAAATACAAGAAGAATCTGAGAGAGAAGGAGAGAGAGAGAGAGTAAAAGAGAAATGGTGACTGGGAAAGAGCGGGAAAATGGAAAAAGAGTAGCTGTCGAGATAAGGAAAGTCTAACAGAGTGAGAGAGAGAGAGTAAAATAACAGTGAAACAGAGAAGGAGAGAGAAATTGCCGAAGAGAGAAATATAAGAAAAATCTGAGAGAGAAGAAGAGAGAAAGAGAGAGGGGGGAGTGAAAGAGAAACGGTGACTGGGAAAGAGAGGGAAATGGAAGAAGTGTAACTGTAGAGAGAAGAAAAGACTAACAGTGAGAGAAAGAGAGAGAGTGTGTAAAATAACAGTGAAACGGAGAAGGAGAGAGAAATTGCCGAAGAGGGAAATACAAGAAAAATTTGAGAGAGAGAGAGAGAGTAAAAGAGAAACGGTGACTGGGAAAGAGAGGGAAAATGGAAAAAGAGTAGCTTTGGAAAGAAGGAAAGTCTAACAGTGAGAGAGAGAGAGAGAGAGAGAGAGAGAGAGAGAGAGAGAAATAAAAGTGAAACGAAGGAGAGAGAAATAGCCGAAGAGAGAAATACAAGAAGAATCTGAGAGAGAATGAGAGAGAGTAAAAGAGAAATGGGGACTGGAAAAGAGAGGGAAAATGAAAAAAGGGTAGCTGTAAAGAGACGGAAAGTCTAATAGAATGAGAGAGCGAGAGAGAGAGAGAGAGAGTAAAATAACAGTGAAACGGAGAAGGAGAGAGAAACAGCCGAAGAGAGAAATACAAGAAGACTCTGGGTGAGATTAAGAGAGAGAGAGAGGGAGAGATAGATTAAGAGAGATAAAAAGAAAGTAAAAGAAAAGTTATGGTGTTTTTGAGCGAAATTTTGAAATGATTCAGTCTTTCTTATCAAATCACTAAATAAAAATTCTCTGGAATGGGCTGTTCTCTAGATCATTATGCATTAATGCAAGCGTTCCTCAGAGCTCCCTCTTTGGACCCACGTGGAACGTGATTTTCAACAACGACGTTCTAGATGGCATCAGATCTAAACTCGGTATCTGTTATATAGCTTACCTATGATCATTAATGGGTATGTCCCAATTCTCGTAACTACGTTTAAGTGGGGTTAATACGCTGTCTAAGTAGTCCATTACTAGCAGTGGTTTACCTACTTCACGTCGCTGGCGAGTATTGAATGTTGTTGATGCTATAAAGATTACCATTTCATTTCCAAACACCATTTTCGTTATTCCAATTCAGTAACCTTTTCTAGATTACAACATGTACTCGTTCCTTAATGATATTTCACTTTTTTCTTATTCTTTCACACTCAGTAGCCTCTTGTGTCTTTATGGCTTTACTGTCAATCGTTACCTACTGTCCTTTTGATGACTCTTCTATTGTTCTCGTTCCTTTATAATATTTCACTTTTTTCTTATTCTTTCACACTCAGTAGCCCCTTGTGTCTTTATGGCTTTACTGTCAATCGTTATCTACTGTCCTCTTGATTACTCTTCTATTGTTCTCTCTCCTTAATAATATTTCACTTTTTTCTTATTCTTTCACACTCAGTAGCCCCTTGTGTCTTTATGGCTTTACTGTCAATCATTATCTACTGTCCTCTTGATTACTCTTCTATTGTTCTATCTCCTTAATAATATTTCACTTTTTCTTATTCTTTCACACTCAGTAGCCCCTTGTGTCTTTATGGCTTTACTGTCAATCGTTATCTACTGTCCTCTTGATTACTCTTCTATTGTTCTCGCTCCTTAATAATATTTCACTTTTTTCTTATTCATTCACACTCAGTAGCCCCTTGTGTCTTTATGGCTTTACTGTCAATCGTTATCTACTGTCTTCTTGATTACTCTTCTATTGTTCTTGCTCTTTAATATTTCGCTTTTTTCTAATTCTTTCACACTCAGTAGACCCTTGTATATTCATGGCTTTACTGTCAATCGTTATCTACTCTCCTCTTGATTACTCTTATATTGTTCTTGCTCCTTAATAATATTTCACTTTTTTCTTATTCTTTCCCACTCGGTAACTCCTTGTGTCTCAGTGCCTTTACTGACTTACATAGACGGACGATATGATTAAAAAAGTTCTGGTATTTGAACTCTCTTACGGCTTCTTTTTTTTTCAACCAACTTTGAACTTCAAATCTTGAAATGCAAGGTCAATCATCATCTTCTGTCTTCTTTTAACTTGTTCTTTTCTTGACTTCCCTCGTTAATAATAAGTCTTTTCTAATATTCTCTATCAATTTGTAACTCCAACTGCACCTTAGTGGCTTTATTGCCTTTCTTGAAATACTAGGCTGACTCTGTGTAGTGTAACCCGAATCGGTTTTACTTTCAATTTTCTAATACCTTGCATCATACGTTAATCCTCACTTTCCTGTCTTGATAGTTATTAGATTGTCTTGTTCAACAATAAATCATATTCCCATCCGTAGCTTCTTTCTCCTTTCTCGCATACTCGAAAGCCAACCACTATTTCCATTTCTAATCTGAACACTTCATATCTTCAGAGCTAGGATTTGCCATGCATACACAGTGTCGGATCACACGCGGTTCCTTCATATTCAAAGTAAAGAAAGAAAGCTCAACTTGCACGACTTTTACTTCATAACTGATGGCTCAACTCACTTCAAGGTGGTCGATATCGGACGTTGCGTTCATTTTCACGCCAATATCATCGGAAATTTATTCATCTATCACATCGAGGGTTTAGCAGAACAGACCGATCTGTCTAGCATTGGTAGGTAATCAGTTCAGAATTAGGAAAATTCTTTATACAAAATTAGGTCAGTAGTAGAGCTAGATATTCTACTGTGAAAAAAGAAACACTAAACGCTATGTTGACCAAAAGGAGCGATACGAAGAATTGCGCTATAATTGAATCTACAGAATAAAATTGTTCCTTTTAATGGACAGAGAAGGCTGTGATAATGAGAATCAACCAGAGAGGAGAATTAATTAATCAATATTAATTTTGACCAGAGACAAGGGTGGGTTAAAATGTTTATATGCTAGCTATGAAGGAGTAGGTCTAGATCTATGACACCTTGCAAGCATTAATTTCAAATCTGCTTATTATTAACTTACCAGTCACGAAAGTTGCCTGAAAGATTTATATGAAACTGTGATGTTAGAGCTGTCATCTCTTGCACGCATTCATTTCAACGCTTCCTGTTAATAACTGCATTGTTTCCTTCCTGGTACGAGGGTGGGCTGAAAAGTTCATACGCTGACTATGAAGAAATGATACTGGAGCTGTAAAATCTTGCATGCATTAATTTCAACTCTTCTTATTAATAACTGCATCGTTTCTTTCCAGGTTTGAGGATGGGCTGAAAAGTTCATACGCTATGAAGGAATGATGCTATAGCTGTCAAATCTTGTACGCGTTAATTTTAACTCCTCATATTAATAACTGCATTGTTTTTTACCAGGTGGGATGAAAAGAGCCTGGGTTGGCTATGAAGGATTGATGCTCTAGCAGTGCATTTATTTCAACTCTTCTTATTAATAACTGCATTGTTTCTTTCCAGATACGAGAGTGGCTGAAAAGTTCATAGGCTGACTATGAAGGAATGAAGTTAGAACTGTGAAATCTTGCATGCATTTATTTTAACTCTTCTTATTAATAACTGCATTGTTTCTTTCCAGATACGAGAGTGGCTGAAAAGTTCATAGGCTGACTATGAAGGAATGAAGTTAGAACTGTGAAATCTTGCATGCATTTATTTTAACTCTTCTTATTAATAACTGCATTGTTTTAATTTCAGGTACGAGAGTGGCTGAAATGTTCATAGGCTGAAAATTAAGGATTGATGTTAGAACAGTGAAATCTTGCATGCATATATTTCAACTCTTCTTATTCATAACTGCATTGTTTCTTTTCAGGTACGAGGGTGGGCTGAAAATTTCATAGGCTGATTATGAATAAGTGATGCTGGTATTGTGAAATCTTGCATGCATTCATTTCAACTCTTATTAATAATTGCAATGTTTCTCTCTGTTTTATGAGGTTGGGCTTAAAAGTTCATAGGCTGACTATTAAGGATTGATGCTAGAGCTGTGAAACCTTGCATGCATTCATTTCAACTCTTCTTATTAATAACTGCATTGTTTCTTTCCAGGTATGACGGTGGGCTGAAATGTTCATAGGCTGACTATGAAGGAGTGATGCTAGGGATGTGAAATCTTGCAGGCATTCATTTCAACACTTCTTATTAATAACTGCATTGTTTCTTTCCAGGTATGACGGTGGGCTGAAATGTTCATAGGCTGACTATGAAGGAGTGATGCTAGGGATGTGAAATCTTGCAGGCATTCTTTTCAACACTTCTTATTAATAACTGCATTGTTTCTTTCCAGGTATGACGGTGGGCTGAAATGTTCATAGGCTGACTATGAAGGAGTGATGCTAGGGATGTGAAATCTTGCATGCATTCATTTCAACTCTTCTTATTAATAACTGCATTGTTTCTTTCCAGGTATGACGGTGGGCTGAAATGTTCATAGGCTGACTATGAAGGAGGATGATAGGGATGTGAAATCTTGCAGGCATTCATTTCAACACTTTTTTATTAATAACTGCATTGTTTCTTTCCAGGTACGGCGTTGGGCTGAAAAGTTCATAGGCTGACTATGAAGGAGTGATGCTAGAGCTGTGAAATCTTGCAGGCATTCATTTCAACACTTCTTATTAATAACTGCATTGTTTCTTTCCAGGTATGACGGTGGGCTGAAATGTTCATAGGCTGACTATGAAGGAGTGATGCTAGGGATGTGAAATCTTGCATGCATTCATTTCAACTCTTCTTATTAATAACTGCATTGTTTCTTTCCAGGTATGACGGTGGCTGAAATGTTCATAGGCTGACTATGAAGGAGTGATGCTAGGGATGTGAAATCTTGCATGCATTCATTTCAACTCTTCTTATTAATAACTGCATTGTTTCTTTCCAGGTATGACGGTGGGCTGAAATGTTCATAGGCTGACTATGAAGGAGTGATGCTAGGGATGTGAAATCTTGCAGGCATTCATTTCAACACTTCTTATTAATAACTGCATTGTTTCTTTCCAGGTACGGCGTTGGGCTGAAAAGTTCATAGGCTGACTATGAAGGAGTGATGCTAGAGCTGTGAAATCTTGCAGGCATTCATTTCAACACTTCTTATTAATAACTGCATTGTTTCTTTCCAGGTATGACGGTGGGCTGAAATGTTCATAGGCTGACTATGAAGGAGTGATGCTAGAGCTGTGAAATCTTGCATACATTGATTTCAACTCTTCTTATTCATAACTGCATTGATTTTTTTTTTTTTTAAATCTATGGTTCCTTTCGTTCTTAATAACTATATTTAAAAAATAATGACGGGAAAAAATTTATAATACCAGCTGTTACAAAAAAACTAAAGTTGTGGAATATTGCACGCATTAATTTCTTCTCTTCTTGGTACATTTAATCATCGTTTCTTGAAAATGTTTAAAATTTGGCATCTTGGTGTTTCTCCTCTGTAATGCCAATTAGAGGAGGTCCTGACCTTGGGCCCTCTTCAAGTATCTTCCTTTTCCCTCCTAAATCCAGCTTCCTACATTTGCATTGTTGATAAACTTAGGCATCGTCCCTAACGTAGTAACCATCTCAACGTGCGTATCATTGTTCTCTAACCCCTTTTTTTAAAATCCTAGTGTTATCTTGTAACTGCAGAAAAAGGTTTTAACCTCAAAGGACATTGATGACCTCAGTTTTGGGGGGTTGCCAAAAGCTCTGTGCTTACCATTATTTTTTTACATTACTATCCTCATCTTCATTGCTATATTCACAACGTTTCGGCCGTTGTACGCTCCGGCCTACTTCAGGTGATTGGAATTTCGAACCGAACCGTTTATTTTGTCCACCGGGGAAGATTTTTCTAGTTCCACGTGCCATGCCTCTTCCGAATGTCTCTGTTATTTCCCTTTAACTCAACACTCCATATTTTGGTCCACCACTGCTGTGGCCTAGTATTGAACTCACAACGCTTTGTGTCTAGTCAGTGGATCTAACCAACATCTTTATCCACTGGG